TCAGTCCTGTTTTTTTCTTTCTTTTCTTTTTTTAATAATGATATATATTTTTATTTTGTTGTTGTAGTAACTATCGCTTAAAGTTACCCAAAATTACCCTTCAGTAAACTTTTTTTTTCTTTTTTTTCTTATTTCTTAACTCTTTAGTAAAACTCATCTCCTTTAGACTTCAACTTTTTGTAGCAACAATGAAAACAAAACAAAAAACAGCGCAAAACAAATTACAAAACAAAAAACATTTCAACAAAAATTAAGAGACGGAGAGATAGAAAGAGGAACTCGAAAATGACAATARTGAATTGTGTCTAAGGAAGCTCTTSCGATYGGTATATYGATAACCAAATATTGATAAAAATATGTTCCTGTTTTTAATAGTTATCCAATATCTCTTATCGGTTAATAATTGATTCAGTATCATTAGAATCGTCTTCCTCAGGGATGAACTATTAGAGAATTGAGGGGGAGGGTTGTAGGAATTTATATTGCACTATATCTTTTTGTAACAACCTATGCACCCAATTTTTTCCCCCAAGATATTTCTTTTCTGAAAGGAGAGGTTGCGCGATATTTTTTCATAGGTGAAGTGCTTGCTCGAGATTTTTTGGGGGAATTTACGCCACCCCCTCCTCAAGTATCTAATGGTTCGTCCCTTATTTATGATTCTTTCTTAATACTTCCTCTATAATACTTGAAACTGAAATAGGTTTTTCCTGTATTAATGATTTAATCCAATCACTTAAATGGCCACTCAATTCTCTATGGTATCATGYACCAACTAACTCTAAAGCTTCCCTTTCCCACGCGTCTAAACCAGAGAGTGACAAGAAGAACACTCTTCCGTTTCTTATCTATTTTCCATTCGTTTTCCACCTCACGCATGATTTATTTCTGTATTCTTTCCACAGTGGCGTCGCCCTGATCAGAAGCCAACGCCCATCATCTGGCTCTTGACCTTCGTTGTAGCCCTGACCCTAAACATTGCTTCTATCGCTAAAGATGGCAGTCAGAAGTGTGTCTCCAACCCGTGTATTATCTTCTACGTGGTGGGCGCCTTGGGAGCCATGCTGGGGTTCGCTTTCTTTTACCATTGGTTGATAGTTAGTATCAGATATATAAAGCAATGGATGGCGCTGAATGAGGAATGGACGCTTGTGGAATCTGATAAAACTAAGGTCATTAAAGGCGAGGAAAACATGGCTGCATCGAACAAGTCTATTGAAAGCAAAGACCAAAGAATTGAAGTCCAAGTTGTGTAATACGCATGAGTGTAGATACGTTTGTTGCGGCTGGCAAGAAGTAACGCAGGCTACGGGAACAAAATAAAACGTCCCACACGAGTAAAAAAAAAAAAGGGATTTGGACGAAAATATAATTCGCAGAAGATTATAAAGAAAATAACAGAAAATTAAAGTGCTACTACGACGAAAATCGCTCAAACTTGGATTCAGCTGAAACTTCCTAARAATACTCTTTAAAGGTCCRATAATCACTGTATGAAGTGTTTTCTCGATATTCAGTACGAAAATATGATATTTTTACGATTATTTTTTGGAGTCTGTGACGTCATACACTCAACATCAAACATTGCTACATATATTTCTTTGTATATAAATCCTTAATTTCTTTTATTCCTATGAAGCCCAAAGGGTGGCTAATGTGCTTATTTCACATTACTTGTGACTATAATTTATATTTTGGGGTGTTTGGGTATTTCTTTCTCCCTTTACTACTGATATTTTGATCATAAACTACAAAGAAATGTATGGAGCGATGTTCGATGTTGAGTGTATGACGTCACAGACTCCAAAAAATAATCGTAAAAATATCATATTTTCGTACTGAATATCGAGAAAACACTTCATACAGTGATTATCGGACCTTTAAAGAGTATTTTTAGGAAGTTTCAGCTGAATCCAAGTTTGAGCGATTTTGACGTCATCTTTATATAGATAACAGCAGGTCAAGTGCTGCAARTGGTATTTCCCACGGTATCAATGTTTAGTTATAGACTAAGATATAATCGATCGAACAATATGGCCCATTAAGTTGGGCCGGAAATGAATAATATTTAGAAAATATATCAAGCATATGATGCTTAGCCAATAGTGTAGAAAATATTCCGGTAAATATTTACGTATTGTCAAAACGTTATGGCTAAATGTTCTTTTTGACTAAACATGAATTCTTTCTCACATTCATAGATATATTTATAAACACTTTCACAAGAAATAATCGAATAAATATACGAAAATATTGAAACTATTGAAGAACTTAAGAATATTGGGTTCCAGTCAATATTTTATTTTGTTTTGAGAAAATTATATTATAAATTTGTTAGAATAAATACTGCTTTTTCAAGACTCTTTTAACAGGAAATTACAAGAGAAAACTCCTAAAATTTCTTCGAAAAAATGCAAYACAAACTGTTTTAATTTTAAATTTCTTAAGTATAAGCACAAATTTGAGAAATAATCTATGAGTATCCCTCGAATAGTCTTCTTCAACATTTTATCGATACCTTGAAACAACCTCTGGGCTGATCTAAATTAGGGTATGGCTAACTCACAGATCAAACCCTGAAACAACCTCTGGGCTGATCTAAGTCAGGGTATGGCTAACTCACAGATCGAACCCTAAAACAACCTCTGGGCTGATCTAAGTCAAGGCATGGCTAACTCACAGATTAAACCCTGAAACAACCTCTGGGCTGATCTAAGTCAGGGCAGTGCTAACTCACAGATCGAACCCTGAAACAACCTCTGGGCTGATCTAAGTCAGGGCATGGCTAACTCACAGATCAAACCCTGAAACAACCTTTAGGCTGATCTAAGTCAGGGCATGACTAACTCACAAATCAAACCCTAAAACAGCCGCTCTGGCAGCTCTAAGCCAGGACACGGCTAGCTCACAGATTGAATTGGAATTTAACGTTGATATGAAGGAGTTACTTGGTGTTTAATGACCTTGTTTAGTAGTATATGTGAAATAGACACCGTGGGAAAAAACCGTAATCTAAGCAATATACTTCAATGGCGGAGTGTCGAAAAGTGAAACCACGTTTGCTATCAAATGGGATTATCACCTTGTTTTACTGATATAAGTTCTCACACAGGTCAAAGACAATATCAAATAACCAACGCCTCCAACAATATTAATTTGAAAACCGAGATCTAGACAAAAGTGATGAGCTTAACCTGCAAAKGACTGTGGATACATGTTTTTGATTTACGAACAAAAGTGCCCACARTTCCATGCGGAACGAGTTAGTCACCAGTCCTCCTCAACTTCGAAAAGAAAAAGTTCAAACAAAAAAAGAAAGACTTCACRCGAACAATTTTGGCACAATTCTCATGAAAACATTTATCATTTATATTTAAAGTGGTATTTCATTAAAGCATGGAAGTTATTATTAGTTATCTTGTTAGTAAATTGGAAAGACTACATTTAAGACATTCTTTTTTAAGACTACTCAACCCCCAGGGGGGGTACTCCCATATTTGCTATACGGGTATGTGCCGCCCTATAGGGTATGGTTTTTCGGCTTTTGGGTCTGGGGTAGGGTATCATTTTTTGAAATTTTGTTTGGGATAGGGTATCATTTTAGTCTGGGATAGGGTTAACGATTTGGTCATTTTTGTCTGGCGAATACGCTACGCTTTCTGCCGACACAAAAACAATAAAAATGTTRGTAAATATYGATTGCRATCGATTGTAAAACCGTATTTTCAGTCTTTTAGTCTGGGATAGGGTGTACAATTCTTAGTTTTAGTCTGGGGTAGGGTATGTAAAATCAAAATTTTAGGTCTGGGATAGGGTCAGGGTTTTGAGGTCCTGGCGGCACACCCCTGCCCAAGTTGGGGTGGTAGTACCCCCCGGGCTCACACCATTCTGCTTTAYATTCTATATCAAATTCATAAATATATAAAAGCATAGAAAAAGATATATAATTTATGATTAACTTTGTTTTTCTAATTGTTTTATTGCTATAGAATTTTATAAGCGTGTAATAAAGATTATATATTATTTCATCCTGAGTTTTAAATAAGAATAAACTATGAAAATGTGAAGAGGAAGTTTTTGGTTAGACGTTTTAAATTTCATAAATTTAACACTCAACCATTTGKCAATCAAATTTAAGTTGTTATGAGGTTCTGCTCCATGCTATTGGAAGTCTGCAGGCCTCTCCCTTGTATATTATGCTTATTTCATTTTAGTTAGTTTACTTTTAACAAGGTATTTTTTGAAGGAATACTTATTGTAGTGAAAGAAATCCCTCCCCCCCTCCCAATTACCAAGGCTTTTTAAACAACATATATATGATGTATCTTATTCCTTCTGATCAGGGCTCTTTTTAATCTCATCCATTAAGTTCCACACAATCCCATTTCTCAGCTCCCATTTGCCCAAACCCCATAGTCTTAGCCTACCTCAAATCKCRATTTGATTTTTGATTTTTTTCTTGTTTTTTTGTTTTTTTGTGAATCCCATTCCCAGTGCATAAAATCCCATTTTCCCAGCCCAAAAATGCCAATCCAAGCTCCCATTTAACCCCTCCCTTCAGGACCCYCTTATGTCTTACTGAATTACCTGTGACTTGGTATGAAACCATCTAAGTCAGGGATTCATGCAGTCCGTCTCAATATCTTCATATAACAAATGATGTTTTTAACAGGCTTGCTTTTCATCGCAATGTTCTAATAGATCTTTCTTTCCTTCCTCCATTCTATAAACTCATCAACTGCCTAACATTCAGTTCAATGTAGTCTCATGCAAACTATACACCAAGCATCATACTGTCGAGTTTCATGATGCAAGTGRAACTTCTGTAAGGTTAGAAGATCTAAATCCCTCCTTTTCTTGTGAAAAGAGCTGTAAGCTTTTATCACTTGTATTGCCATTTGCCACAGACTATCCCTGTCCTTCTTCTTCTGTCCTTTTGCAGAAAGTGGCGTTTGTTTTCTGCCATTGTAGTGCATCTCAAGTCCTTTCTTTTCTTGTAAAAAGTATTGTAAAACTGTCACTTCCAAATATGCTACTTTGCAGTCCACAATTTTCTGATATCTCTCGTGGTTTATGCAAAACTGGCATTTCATTTCTGCCATTTCAGTGCATCTCAAGTCCTTTCTCTTCTTGTAAAAAGCGTTGTACAACTGACACCTCCACACATGCTACTTTTCAGTCCACAATACTCTGATACTTTTTTTAATGCAGAAAGTAGAACTTGATTTCTGCCATTTTAGTGCTTTCTCAAGTCCTTTCTTTTATCGTAAAAAGCGTTGTAGGACTCTCACCTCTACACATGCTACTTTTCAGTCCACAATACTCTGATACCTTTTGTGGTTTATGCAGAAAGTGGGACTTGATTTCTGCCATTTTAGTGCATCTCAAAAAAGTGTTGTATAACTGTCAATTCCACACATTCTACTTTGCATTCCACATATTTCTGATGCCTCTCATGGTTTATGCAGAAAGTGGGACTTCATTTTCTGTCATTTCAGTTCCTTGTAAAAAAAATTACTCTTACTCCTCCACAAATAATAATTTGCAGTCCACGATTCTCACCTCTTGTGGTTTTTGCAGAATGTATCATATGATTAGTATGATCATTTCACTTGGAGTGCTACAGTACATTCCACYGGCTGGATATCCTCACCAACAGACRTCCCACACAGTGGACACGGRAATGATGAATCTGCTAAGCTGTTACCCTGAAACAACAGAACACAAACCATTCTATAATATTTATTTATTGACAAAGATTCATTGTCATAAGCTTTCTGATGACAAGTTATTTATATTTATTGGGTTCCTGAACTCAGCATCACATATCATAAAGTTTGTGAGGATATCTCTTCCTGCATTAGTGGGATTTTCCCAGGGTTCTCCTGTTTTCATTCCTGTGCAAAACCAAACAGGCTAAAATCCAATTTGATCTGTGATTTAGCCATGCCCTGACTTAGATCAGCCCAGAGGTTGTTTCAGGGTTCGATCTGTGAGTTAGCCATGCCTTGACTTAGATCAGCCCAAAGGTTGTTTCAGGGTGCAATCTGTGAGTTAGCCATTCCATGAATTAGATCAGCCCAGAGGTTATTTCAGGGTTCAATCTGTGAGTTAGCCATGCCCTGTCTTCGATCAGCCTACAGATCAGCCCAGTTTCAGGGTATCAAAAGAAATTTCTTACCTTAATACAGTAGTAACAGAATACATGGTCACATGCGCCCTGATGTGGTGCTGTAGGCGACTCCCCACAAATACCACATTCATGGTAAGCTACAGTCACCCCAGGTCTGGTACCCAAACTTGGCCAGGTGAACTGCCGTACTATGAGATTCTTGATTTTACGTATGTTGATCAATGGCAGCAAAAAGAAAAGAAATTCCTGATAAATAAA